AGAGAGAGAGAAGAGAGAGAGAGAGAGAGAGAGAGAGAGAAGAGAGAGAGAGAGAGAGAGAGAGAGAGCGAGAGAGAGAGCGAGAGAGAGAGAGAGAAGAGAGAGCGAGAGAGAGAGAGAGAAGAGAGAGAGAGCGAGATAGAGAGAGAGAGAGAGAGAGAGAGAGAGAGGAGAGAGAGAGAGAGGTAGAGAGAGAGAAGAGAGAGAAGAGAGAGAGAGAGAGAGAGAGAGAGCGAGAGAGAGAGAGAGAGAGAGAGAGAGAGAGAGAGAGAGAGAGAGCGAGAGAGCGAGAAGAGAGAGAGAGAGAGAGAGAGAGAGAGAGAGAGAGAAGAGAGAGAGAGAGAGAGGGAGAGAGAGAGAGAGAGAGAGAGAGAGAGAGCGAGAGAGCGAGAGAGAGCGAGGAGAGGGAGAGAGAGAGAGAGAGAGAGAGAGAGAGAGAGAGAGGAGAGAGAGAGAGAGAGAGAGAGAGAGAGAGAGCGAGAGAGCGAGAGAGCGAGAGAGCGAGAGAGAAGAGAGAGAGAAGAGAGAGGAGAGAGAGGAGAGAGAGAGAGAGAGAGAGAGAGAGGAGAGGAGAGAGAGAGAGAGAGAGAGAGTCACAGGCAGACAAACGGCGAGACACACAGAGGAATGTCGCAGCCTAACGCGGGCCCACCGCCTTCGTGGCCCGAGAGGAGTGAGGTCCCGCGATGACCCGGCCGAGGAACGCGGGTCAAAGAGAGGTCCGCGATGACCGGCCGAGAACGCGGGTCAAAGAGAGGTCCCGCGATGACCCGGCCGAGGAACGCGGGTCAAAGAGAGGTCCCGCGATGACCCGGCCGAGGAACGCGGGTCAAAGAGAAAAGAGCCTCGAGGAGCGCGCGCAATTTTTGCCGATTCGCTTCTGTTTTTGTTTTTTTCTTCTCGCCATTCCTCCGTTTCCCTTTTCTTGCTTTCTATCTTATCGCATGGATGAATAAGATAAAGGAACGTATAAACCAAAGACGTGTCAGCGTTTCCATTCATAATGCATTGCGAAATTATTCCCCGACGAAGGGCCATGAAGAGAAAAAATATTAGAGAACATTAGTAAGGAAACAGCTGGGGATAACTAGAGAAAGGGAGTAGAAGGCAGAGAAAGATGAATTAAAAACAATGGAAGTCACGATGGAAAGGAATGAGAGACACAAATGAAGAAAAGGAAATCTAATGAAATGAAAGAAACACGAAATATAGACCAAAACGAAGAAAACAATATATAGATGAAATATACCAACGAAAAGAATGAAAAAAAGAGAAACACGAAATATAAAATACATAGGACCATGAGAAAAAAAAGATGAAGAGAAAGAGCTCGAGAGAAAGACAGAGACGGAGGTGGCACTCCCCACCGACCGACCGACGACCGATCGCAGCCAAGCCACTCAACCGTCACGCTCCGACGCCCGCCCGCCAAATTCTCACTCGCATTCCCGCTTTCCGACGACGCTGGCGATGCCCCTCCCCCCCCCCCAGAACCCCACACCCCATTCCATCCCCCGCCTACCCAGAACGCGCGTCAAAAACGGTTCGTGGCGCCGAACACGTGCAGTTAATTTCACACTCGTATACCATTGTTATTTTTATTAATAACGATAAAAAATAACTAAAGTAAGTACCACAGTTAAGCCTGGATCCCAACCGGGGATGCAAGCCGAGAAAGTAGGTTAGCGGATAATAAAACTAAAAACAAGATCTATACATCTACATACCCGACCCATGAGAGAAATAAAAACTAAGAGGAACCGACACCATCCGAAAAATAAAGCTATATAGAAGACCTCTAACACCGGAAATTAACAATAAAATAATAATAATAATACTGACAACCCAACACCGCTATTTTTTAAATTCTCCAGCCACCACCGCAGAGAAAAGAGAAAAAGGAACAAAACAAAACAAAAGCGCACGCCCACTCACCTGGACATACTATCACAAACAGGAATAATATACATAATCCGAGTAAATATGTAATCTTCATGGCGGCGGGATCAGCGAACGGGGCAACACATGAAGAAATGGAGAGAGAGAAAAAATACTGGGCCTGCAGACAATGGACTGCCTCAATTTACGTTGACGGCGGTGAAGGCAGGACACGATTTTCCCCGCTCTTCTCTCTCCTCCCTTGGCTTTCCGCTGACTTCTGCTGACGTCGGTCCGCTGCCGCTCGCCTTGACGATTTCTCCTGGCGATGATCAAGCAGTCATTCTCCACGAGACACCTGTTGGAGAGAAGAAAATTAAGGTTTTGGTTAATGATAAAAAGGTAAAAATCAGTGACTATAAGAATCATAGGGATGACAATGATAATGATGGTGGTGGTAAAGATAATGGTGATAAAAATAAAAATAACGATAATAATAACAATACTGCCACTAATAATAATAATAATAATAATAATAATAATAATATCACTTTCTTATTGCAACAACGATGACACTAATGAAAATGACAATAAGTACAACAGCAAAAATACTACTATAAGGCCCACCACCATTCCCTTCATTGTCATTATTAACTACGACACCACATCCATAAAGTCATCACTTTAAAACAGGAATAGCCAATTATCACCAAAATGATTATCTGTTTAATTAAGCCTATAGTAAATATCGATATAAGGCATTTCTTGGTCACAAAGGAGGATCAAGTGAAACACCTAGAATTACCGAGTTAAACCAGGTATTTCGGTGGCTTACTGACGAGGGTCAAATACTAATACATAAAGGAAAACGTTCTCCGCGAGCGCACAACCAAATATGAGAGAGAGAGAGAGAGAGAGAGAGAGAGAGAGAGAGAGAGAGAGAGAGAGAGAGAGAGAGAGAGAGAGAGAGAGAGAGAGAGAGAGAGAGAGAGAGAGAGAGAGAGAGAGAGAGAGAGAGAGAGAGAGAGAGAGAGAGAGAGAAGAGAGAGAGAGAGAGAGAGAGAGGAGAGAGAGAGAGAGAGAAGAGAGGAGAGGAGAGAGAGAGAGGAGAGAGAGAGAGAGAGAGAGAGAGAGAGAGAGAGAGAGAGAGAGAGAGAGAGAGAGAGAGAGAGAGAGAGAGAGGAGAGAGAGAGAGAGAGAGAGAGAGAGAGAGAGAGAGAGAGAGAGAGAGAGAGAGAGAGAGAGAGAGAGAATGCCGATGCCCCTGAAGCACCGTTTTTTATGATTTCATACTATTTCAACTATCTCTCCTCCCTTTACATAAAACTAACACCCAAGTTAAGCTTTTGCAAAAAGGAACCGAAAACAACAGAAATAACAAATGAGGATCCTGTTCTCTCATTTGACCCCCCCCTTCTCCTCCTACTCCACTAGACACATGCGCGCTATGCAAACCAAAGACGCTATCGGAATCACTTACGCCCATTTTAAATCCCTTTGCTACCACGAACCCTACGTCCGTGTCCATTTACGCCCACGCCCGCCCGCGTATATTCGTTCCACACAGATGGTGTTCTCTTCTTTCGACAAGCCATGGAGTCTCAGGTTGGAAGGGGATTTTATACGTCTATTCACCTTTTTTATTTATTTCTTTATTCATCTTTCTATTTATTTATCTATTCATCTTTCTATTTATCTATCTATTGTAATTAATTTTTGTGTGCGTATATTGTCTGCAATGGGTTTCATAATGTACAGTTGAATTTCCAGTACAATATTGCATAGTATAACCTCCGCTACAGAAGAGGCGGACCATCTATGCTTATCCGAATTCGTCTGCAAATTCGTAAGACATACAGATGATCAAATAGTTTGAATGAAGCAACAACTGACTTATCTCTGCCCGAATAATCGGTCTCCAAATCTAACACTTTGGGCAGCGTTCCTCCGCCAAACATTCACATCCCACACCGAAGCTACCACTCGCACTCGCAATTATTCACATACTCTTCGCTATACCTGGTTCTGCCGTTTTCCCTCTACTTTCACACTTCTCTTACTTTATCTTTGTCTGCCTGTGCATTTCCTCGTTTTCTATCCCCCTCTCCCTCTCCTTCTCTCTTTCTCTCTCTTTCACTCTCTCTCTCTCTCGGTCTCTGCTCTCTCTCTCTCTCTCTCGGTCTCTGTCTCTGTCTCTCTCTCTCTCTCTCTCTCTCTCTCTCTCTCTCTCTCTCTCTCTCTCTCTCTCTTCTCTGTCTCTCTGTCTCTCTCTCTCGGTCTCTGTCTCTGTCTCTCTCTCTCTCTCTGTCTCTCTGTCTCTCTCTCTCGTCTCTGTCTCTCTGTCTCTCTCTCTCGGTCTCTGTCTCTCTCTCTCGGTCTCTGTCCCTCTCTCTGGTCTCTGTCTCTCTCTCTCGGTCTCTGTCTCTCTCTCTCGGTCTCTTGTCTCTCTCTCTCGGTCTCTGTCTCTCTCTCTCGGTCTCTGTCTCCTCTCTCTCGGTCTCTGTCTCTCTCTCTCGGTCTCTGTCTCTCTCTCTCGGTCTCTGTCTCTCTCTCTCGTCTCTGTCTCTCTTCTCTCGGTCTCTGTCTCTCTCTCTCGGTCTCTGTCTCTCTCTCTCGGTCTCTGTCTCTCTCTCTCGGTCTCTGTCTCTCTCTCGGTCTCTGTCTCTCTCTCTCGTCTCTGTCTCTCTCTCTCGGTCTCTGTCTCTCTCTCGGTCTCTCTCTGTCTCTGTCTCTCTCTCTCGTCTCTGTCTCTCTCTCTCGGTCTCTGTCTCTGTCTCTGTCCTCTCTCTCTCTCTCTCTCTCTCTCTGTCTCTGTCCTCTCTCTCTCTCGGTCCTCCTGTCCTCTCTTCTCTCTCGTCTCTCTCTCTCTCTCTCTCTCTCTGGTCTCTGTCTCTCTCTCTCTCTCTGGTCTCTGTCTCTCTCTCTCTCGTCTCTGTCTCTCTCTCTCGGTCTCTGTCTCTCTCTCTCGTCTCTGTCTCTCTCTCTCTCTCTCTGTCTCTCTCTCTCGGTCTCTGTCTCTCTCTCTCTCTCTGTCTCTCTCTCTCTCTCTCCTCTCTCTCTCGGTCTCTGTCTCTCTCTCTCGTCTCCTGTCTCTCTCTCTCGTCTCTCTCTCTCTCTCTCGGTCTCTGTCTCTCCTCTCTCGGTCTCTGTCTCTCTCTCTCGGTCCTCTGTCTCTCTCTCTCTCTCTGTCTCTCTCTCTCGGTCTCTGTCTCTCTTCTCTCGGTCTCTGTCTCTCTCTCTCTCTCTGTCTCTCTCTCTCTCTCTCGGTCTCCGGTCTCTCTCTCTTCTCGGTCTCGGTCCTCTCTTTCTCTCGGTCTCGGTCTCTCTCTCTCTCGGTCTCTCTCTCTCTCTCTCGGTCTCTCTCTCTCTCGGTCTCGGTCTCTCCCTCTCGGTCTCGGTCTCTCTCTCTCTCGTCCTCGGTCTCTCTCTCTGGTCTCGGTCTCGGTCTTCTCTCTCACTCTCGGTCTCGGCTCTTCTCTGCTCGTCTCTCTCTCACTCTCTGGCTCTCCTCTCTCACTCTCTGGGTCTGTCTCTCTCTCTCTCTCGGTCCTCTCTTCTCTCTCTCTCTCTTCTCTCTCGCTCTCTCTCTCTCGCTCTCTCTCTCTCTCTCTCTCTCTCTCTCTCTCTCTCTCTCTCTCTCTCTCTCTCTTCTCTCTCTCGTCTCTCCTCTCTCTCTCTCTATCTATCTATCTATCTCTCTCTATCTCTCTCTCTCTCCCTCCCTCCTCCTCCCTCTTCCCCCCACTCCGAAGATTCTGCGACAAGGGTAGTTCGCACGATCCGCCTCGCTATGCCATGTGTACACACCCACCGCCATGTGTAAGTTCCCGAAGATGTACACACATGGCAACCAACATCTCGCTCCCCGGACAAAAAAGGAGAAAAAACTAAACTATTTATGTGACGTCACCACGTTCGTCTGAATGAATTAAAATCTGAACATCTGTCCATTAGCCTAATTTAATAGAGAATAAAAGCAATATCAAAATACCTAAACAATCCTTCCATGAGGATAATTAGAAAAGAAAAGACAAAACAAATAAAAAAATACTCGTCATTATTTATACACAGAAAAAATCTAGAAAATTATATTTCTCAAGGGTAATGTACCCCTCCGACCCCTCCTCACCCCCCCCCCTAATACAACACCGCGACAAAACCGCTCCCCTAACCCTCGTGTGACACCAATGCCAGGCGCTTTTGACACCCAACCCATAGTCCCACGCACCACACCAAGCATCAGGGGTCTTCACCCTCACCCCCCCAAAAACACACTCTAATCCACCCACACTCATCCAACACACTAAACACATAAGGATACACACTGCTCACACTAGCTTAGCTTAGGCCACAGGGTGTCATCTCCAAGAAGAGAGCAGGATAGAAATATGAACTAGGAGGGAGATGCAACGACTTTGGAAGGGAGGGAGAGAACGAGGGTGAGACATATACACACACAGCATGAGAGAGAGAGAGAGAGAGAGAGAGAGAGAGAGAGAGAGAGAGAGAGAGAGAGAGAGAGAGAGAGAGAAGAGAGAGAGAGAGAGAGAGAGAGAGGAAACTCTGGAAGGGAGAGAGAGAGCGCGAGTGAGCGAGCGAGAGACAGGCAGATAGACAGAGATACATGGAGAGAGAAAGAAAAAGAGAGAGAGAGAGAGGAGAGAGAGAGAGCGAGAGAGAGAGAGAGAGAGAGAGAGAGAGAGAGAGAGAGAGAGAGAGAGAGGAGAGAGAGAGAGAGAGAGAAGGAAACTACGGAGACCGTTGATTCTTTACGGCATTCAGAGTCATGAGGGTTTACGGGAATTATGGGGTGAACATTGAGCCGATCTGCAAAGCCTTCCCGGGATGAATGCCGGAGAAGCCTCCCTCAAATTCCTCTTCGGAGATCGCAAAGGACACGGCCATTAGATCACGTGAGACCGTACAGCTGCTAACCCTCCTGGAGCCTACTTGACCGCGTCTAACGAGTGTGACATTTCGAAATACATAGCCCGTTGTCTGTAATTCCTATTCTTCTCCTCTCAATTCCTGCCATTTAACCACTCGTATGCCAATGGTCGTGTCAAGATTTTGTGAAAACGAAAGATTCACCCGTACTATACATTTGCCTCTTTAACCATCAAATCTCTTCAAATCCTATACCGATTTCCCTATGGCGTCTTTGCCTCTCGCCTCCTCGCTTAAGGTATTGCTTTTTTCTGTCAATATTCTCGCTTTCGATATGAAATCAGGCATAAAAAATGATCCCCTCACCTCCTTCCCCTACCACTCACCCCGCAATGTCTTACCCTAATATTCCCCCTAAGCTCAAGGGAGAGAGGGAGGGATAGAAAGAGAAAGAGGGGGGAGGGGGAGAGAGGGAGAGAGGAAGAGAGAGAGACAAAGAAAGAGAGAGGGAGGAGAAAGGAGAGAGCGAGAGATGAAGGGAGAGAGGAAGGAGAGAGGGAGAGAGGAAGAGAGAGGGAGAGAGGAAGAGAGAGGGAAGAGAGGAAGGAGAGGGAGAGAGGAAGAGGGGGAGAAAAGGAAGAGAGATGGGGAAAAGGAAAGAGAGAGGGAGAAAGGAAGAAGAAAGAGGAGAAAGGGAGAGAGAAGGGAGAGGCAGAAGAAGAGAGAGAGAAAGGAAAGAGAGAGAGGAGAAAGGGAAGAGAGAAGAGAGAGAGAGAGAGAGAGAGAGAGAGAGAAGAGAGAGAGAGAGAAGAGAGAGAGAGAGAGAGAGAGAGAAGAGAGAGAGAAGAGAGAGAGAGAGAAAGAGAGAGAGAGAAAGAGAGAGAGAGAAAGAGGAGAGCAGAAAGAAGAGAGAGAGGAAGAGAGAGAAGGAAAGAGAGAGAGTAGGAAAGAGAGAGACGAGAGAGAGAAGAGAGAGAGAGGAGAAGAGAGAGAAGAGAGAGAGAGGAGAGAGAGAGAGAGAGATGAGAAGAAGAGAAGAGAGAGGGGAGAGAGAGAGAGAGAGGAAAAGAGAGAGAGAGAGAGGAAAGAGAAGAGAGAGAGAGGAAAGAGAGAGAGAGAGAGGAAGAAGAGAAGAAGAGAGAGAAGAGAGAGAGAGAGAGAGAGAGAGAGAGAGAGAGAGAGAGA